CTTTCTGAGGGTCTCATGTGCCCACACAGATCTCAGTTTCCCTGTCTTCTGCTTATTTATACACCTCACACACTCAAAACAGTGCCAGAGCAGGCACTTTGCGTTTGGCAGATGTTTTTAACAACAAAAGACTCAGACCTGTGAGTTGTGATCAAGTTTCTGCTAATATGACCGTTATTACTTAGCAGCAAACTAAAGATTACAGATCACTGGCGCTATAATCTTTTATTTCACTGACAGGAACCTGCTAAGCCCTTTGTCTGATCGGGGCCTGATTCTTTTTGTCCTTGGCATCACCGCCATCTGCTGGATTAAACAGTGCAAAATATTTACCACCCAAAGTGATTCCATTCACAACTATAGTCCGTCTAGTTCATTTTTTCCTATTTTTGTGTCTATAGCAGCATTCTCGTGACCCCCAGGTTAAGAACCACTTCCCTAGTATATATACCCTATTGTACTATACCCTAGCGCAGGGGTATTCAATTAGATTTCAAAGAGGTCCAGTTAGAGAAAATTTCCCGAAGCAAAGGTCCGGAACATCAAAACGACTAACTTGCGTTATCATTCAGTACTATAACCTATAGTTGTATCAACACATGTTTTTAGTCAACAACGGACTCTCAAATCAAATAATATTTCAGTCAGTTTTCACATCAAACTGGAAGGATAATAAATAATAACTATTCAAATAATACATTCTAAATTTAAGTAAACTAAAGTGCCTAATTTTTAGAAAAAATGTAATAAAAAGTGTAGCTTGAAGTGATGAAGTGTAGTCTTAACCAATTTTATAATAAACACTCAACACATCATAACAAATGAACAGCTGTAATGCCTCCTCTTCTCTTTCATTTCCTCTTACAGAGCTACCACTTTCCTACTTTCTGTTGTTCAGTGAGAAACGTGAGCTCCAGCTAGCATATTGGAGATCTATGAGATGTTCTGGTTTTGAACTGCCCGTGGGAGGAATGTACATGTAAAAATCTGTACATTCTTGATTAAAAGTCATGTGAAATCTCTTTTATCTTTCTTCTCCTCAATTCGGGTGCGTTTCCAAAACGTCTCTGGTGAATCTCGCGGACTCGACTCGCAAGCATCGGAATGCACAGATTTGATTGGCTGAGCAGCGTCACATGAGACGATTGGAGCACATGCGATTGGTCTGAGAGTTTCCTGGTCCTCTAAACCAGTACAGTAAATGCTAGAAAAGCTGCGCGGGTTAAAATAGAAACGCTCCGTCACGAGGTAGTAAGTCTCAATAATAAATGGGCTGTAGGTCGGCGGTCCGGAGAGGACGGCGGCTGGGTCCGGATCCGGACCGCGGCCCGCCTATTAGTGACCTCTGCCCTAGCGTATATATACCCTAGCGTACCCTACCATACTGTGAGCTGCTACCTTCTGATCAGGAGTGGTCTTGCCTCTCTGTGGCCTCCTTCAGGTGGAGTTTGGGGTGGTCTACAGTTGTCTTGAAGATAAGATGTTCTCAGCGCGGAGGGGGAAGGGAGCGTTTTGTAACGGACAGCCACTGCAGGTTTCTGAGCAGAAAGGTCAGTAACACGAGGTTTCCACGGCAGCGATGAAGACATCCCAAACGTCCGGAGCAGTAACCGACTCTCTGAGTCCATTGGTTAATATGAGCACAACACAATATGATGTCATGATGCTCTGATCCAATCAGGGACCAGAATTTGACCTGTGTCTTTTTTTTCTGTCAGACATCAAACAGTCGATTATTGCTACAGAGTTTGGATCCAGCAGAGACCCTGAAGCTGTCGACAAAATCTTCTCCAGCCTGAGGAACATCCTCTGCATCCCTGTACACGGGTAACACTACAGATACTGCAGTAGTACTGCTGAGAGTGTAACGTAAATGTGTAGTTTTATTGGGACAGTTGTGATCAAAGGTTTACATACACTTAAACAGAACATGTCTGTCGTGGCAGTTTAAGTTTTCAGTATTTACCACCACTCTGACGTTTCTATGACGGCTCACTGGAGCCTTCTTCTGAAATCTAGTGGGTGAAAAGGAAGTCAGTCAGATTTACTCTGTGACGTGGCCTCTTTAACTTCTTTTGAAAGACTGAGTGACTACAGCTGGTGACTTCTCAGCCCGATTAAATACGCTCATTAGAATCAAATGCTATGACGGGAGAGTCTAAGGAGCTGCGCACAGACCTGAAGAAGCGGATCATAGACTTCAGGAAGTTAGGAAAGCAGCTCCACTGGCAGGAAGACAACGCAAGCTATCACCTGTTGCTGAGAGAACATTGTTCAGGAGGGTGAGGGGTCGACCAAGAACCACCAAAAAGCTGGTCTACAATGAATTAGAAGCTGCTGGAACTCAGGTGTCAGTGTCCACAGGTAAGCTTGTTTCACGTCGCCATTGGCTGAGAGGCTGCCGGGGAAGCAGGAAGCACTCGCTCCTGAAGCGGCACCTTGACAATGACCCCAAACACACATCGGAGGTGGTGAAAGGACGGCAGACTCAGGCTAGAATGAAGGTTTTAGAAAGGCCTTCCCAAGATCCTGACTGAAACCCCACGAGAACCAGTCCGTGTCAGATTTAGCTGAACTGCACCAAATCTATCAAGAGGAGAGGTCAAAGATTCAACCAGAGGCTTGTGGATGGCTACCAAAATATTAACGGTGGCATATTTTTGACCCAGTAGATTTATTTTCAGAAGACCCAGAACTGATTCATAGAAGAACCAAACTTCATGACTGAAGTGCTCCACTGATCCCATCACAGAAAAGTCAGAGGTGTCGTAATTATTAAAAAGTCCAACTGCGGTCACAGACGTGATGTGTCCGTTGGCAGGGTGCGCGGTGCAGGATCTGCAGCCATCAACATGTGTCTGGTGGCGTCTGGCTGTGTTGAGGCGTACTACGAGATGGGGATCCACATCTGGGACGTCGCTGCCAGCTCGCTGATAGTCTCTGAGGCCGGAGGGGTCCTGATGGACGTGGAGGGTAAAGACACTCAGACAGAAGCTCAGCGTTTCTACGGAGACGTCCTGCCTGATTTTCACCGTGTTGTCTGTGTTCAGGTGGAGAGGTAGACCTGATGTCCAGAAGAATCATAGCTGCCAACAGCAGAGCCATCGCAGAGAGGCTCGTCAAAGAGATCGACTCCTTCAGTCTGCCCAGAGACGACGCTCCGCCGCCGCCGCTCAAACCCTGAAGACGGGCGGCGTGTTGAACAACTTTATGTCCAGTCTGCTGCAGACGGTCAGTTTGTAAAGTTTATGATGAATAAAGTTTCTCATAAAAAGAAATACACAGCTGGGTTTGTCTGAGGTCACTGTGCACGACAAATGATCATTAGTTATAATGTTAAAGGTCTTCACAGCCGTCTCTAAATAAGGAACATCTTAAACCACCTGACACAAGCCAACGGCCAGAGTCCTGCAGGAAACCATCAGGAGGAGACGCTAAAACGAAATCTACTTCTTCACACACATCAGGGAGCAAAAGGGCGTCTCCATCCTGACTAGAAAAACAACAGAAGCCTGACGCAGTCCACTGTCAGGAAAGACTGAGGGCCACCTTAGATTCACAAACCAGCCACACGACCAAACGATCATCCAACACAGTGCGTAGAATAAAATCCAAGAACTACATGTCACCCCAGACCAGGGTTTACAAATCCAGATATAGTAGCTCAGGACACACAACTTGAAGCGTTTCTGAAAGACAGAGCCAATAGAGGGGTGGGAAATGAACCAGGTCATCACCTCTTCAAGTCCGGGACCAGATACATTTATTAATGGGTTTTACAAACCTTCAAATAAGTTCTCTCCGTACTGCTAACAGCACATCATCAGGCATTCAAGCCAATGACCACGGACCTCTCCATAATGGTCTGCATGAGGAGGGTACAGACCTGCAGACCAGTATATAGCTAACATTAGTTTGTGGACTAGCTCACATTAATTTGTGAAGTAATTAACATTAGCTTGTGGATTAGCACACATTAGCTGGAGGATTAGCGCACATTAGCCGGTGGATTAGCGCTCATTAGCTGGAGGATTAGCGCACATTAGCCGGTGGATTAGCGCACATTAGCTGGTGGATTAGCTCACAGTAGCTGGTGGATTAGCTCACATTGGTGGATTAGCTCACAGTAGCTGGTGGATTAGCGCCCATTAGCTGGTGGATTAGCTCACATTAGCTGGTGGATAAGCACTCATTAGCCGGTGGATTAGCGCTCATTAGCCGGTGGATTAGCGCTCATTAGCCGGTGGATTAGCGCTCATTAGCCGGTGGATTAGTGCACATTAGCTGGAGGATTAGTGCACATTAGCTGGAGGATTAGCACACATTAGCTGGTGGATTAGCTCACATTGGTGGATTAGCGCCCATTAGCTGGTGGATTAGCTCACATTAGCTGGTGGATTAGCACTCATTAGCCGGTGGATTAGCGCTCATTAGCCGGTGGATTAGCGCTCATTAGCCGGTGGATTAGTGCACATTAGCCGGTGGATTAGCGCTCATTAGCCGGTGGATTAGCGCTCATTAGCTGGTGGATTAGCACTCACAGTAGCTGGTGGATTAGCACTCACAGTAGCTGGTGGATTAGCTCACATTAGCTGGTGGATTAGCTCACATTAGCTGGTGGATTAGCTCACATTGGTGGATTAGCTCACAGTAGCTGGTGGATTAGCTCACATTGGTGGATTAGCTCACATTAGCTGGTGGATTAGCTCACATTAGCTGGTGGATTAGCTCACATTAGCTGGTGGATTAGCGCTCACAGTAGCTGGTGGATTAGCTCACATTAGCTGGTGGATTAGCTCACATTGGTGGATTAGCTCACAGTAGCTGGTGGATTAGCGCCCATTAGCTGGTGGATTAGCGCCCATTAGCTGGTGGATTAGCTCACATTAGCTGGTGGATTAGCTCACATTAGCTGGTGGATTAGCGCTCATTAGCTGGTGGATTAGCTCACATTAGCTGGTGGATTATTAAAACAGAAACAAAGAACGATAACAGGAAGATAAAACTTGATGAAATGTTTTATTGGGGGTTCTCCGAATGTTTCCGGCAACCTCACTAGAAGGTTCCTTTGTTGTTGTACAGATGCACACCTGCAACACAGGTGACACCGTTACCTCATGTCGTACACTGAAAGTTGTGATGTCATCAGGTGTCGGCCGGTCGTCTTCACGTTCTGGAAAAAGCTCACAGGTGGTCTGAATAGATTTCTGTCATCGGGTGAACCTTTGTGATTGGCTGCTTCTAAAACAAAGGCAGGTTGCTGCGCTCCGACAAACAGGAAGTCATCATCTGCCTTTCTTCATCTTGGACACCTTCTCCTTCCTCTTCTTCACGTGTTTGGGCGTTTTGTTTTTTCTCTTTTCTCTCTGAGCTTCTTTCACCATCTTCTTCTTCTCCTGAAAGAAAACAGACTTCAGTTTTAAAACTGACAAAGGTCACGTCTCCCTGCTGCCGCTGAGCGTTACATACCTTTTTATCCACGGAGGCTTCCTCACTCTGCTCCTGCACCTCTTCATCATCGTCCTCCTCCTCTTCCTCCTCTGAGGATGAAGACTGATCCTCCTCCAGCAGAGCAGGAACCTGAGGGGGCGACACACGGCTGGTTAGCCTGCAAGCTAGCTGCTGTTAGCTCAGACGGGAGGCCCGTCTCCTCTGGAGCTTTTGATCATAGCACATGGTCTTCCTCAGGAGACCGTCGTGAAGCTGTCCAGGTGCACTGTGACATCACGGCCGGTCATGTGATCAAGCTCCAGAACAGATGGAGCACATTTACCTGCCACCTGTCCAGGTGAACGAAACAACACGTTGCTCTTTGGGTTTACTTGTGATGCAGAATTCAGACGAACTCTCAGCTACAGCGTCCGCACAGGCGGACAGAGTTTCATTAGAGCAGCTGTCTGAAAGGTGAACCAGGTGACACCGAGCTGAACCTGAAGAATCGCACCTCAGAACAGGAAACTAAGAAAATGCTGCCGGGGGGTCAAACTCATTTATTTCTTTACTCACACAGTGAACTGGGCGCGTCAGAGGAACATATTCAGAGGGAGTTTTGTTCCTGTAAATTTAGCACTTTCATCAGATTATTAACCTGCACCCTGGCTCCGTGTTTTCCAATCATGTAAAACAGTGGTGGGAATCACCAGAGGCCCCACGATACAATATCACTGTGATTCATTACTTTTACTCGTGGACTGAAAAAGCAACTGATTTTATTTTAATAGTACCAAAAAGTAAAATTCTCATGTACAATTTATATAATAAAAGGTCGATACTTGACCTCCGTGTGTCGACACAACATGGCCACAGAAATATCATGATGCTATGCTGCATCGACCCCCCCCCCCCCCTCCTATTTATGCAGTCGGTCCCAGTGTAAATGTGAATAATGATTCTTCCATGCATACCAGCATTGACCATGGAGTACCACAAGGTTCGGTGCTCGGACCGATCCTTTTTACCCTACATATGCTTCCTCTCAGTAGAATTATAAGAAACCATGACAAACTTTCATTGCTATGCTGATGATACTCAGTTATATTTAGTAATCATGCTGGATGATTCACATCAGTTAGCCAAACTCCAAGGTTCCTTACAAGATATCAAATCCTGGATGACCTGTAATTTCCTCATGCTGACAGAACTGAAGTTATTTTGCTTGGGCCCAAAGACCTTCAAGATATACGATCCAACGACATTGCTACTATGGATGGCATCGCTGTGGCCCCCAGTACCCCCTTGAGGAACCTGAGAGTTATTTTCCATCAGGAAATGTCCTTCAACCTGTATGTTACGCAAATTTCAAGAACGGCCTACTTTCATTTACATAACATTGCTAAAATCAGGAAGATCCTGTCTCAAAACGCTGCAGAAAAACTGGCCCATGCTTTCATTACTTCCAGGCTTGACTATTGTAATTCTCTAAAGCCTCTCCAGCTGATCCAGAATGCAGCAGTTCTGTCTACAGTCAGGATTAGAGAGCATATTTCTCCAGTTCTAGCCTCCCTTCACTGGCTCCCTGTGAAATACAGAGTAGATTTTTAGATTTTTAAAATTGTTCTACTTACCTACAAAGCCTTAAATGGCCAGGCACCATTGTACCTCAAGGAGCTCCTGATACCTTACTGCCCCAAAAGAGGACTGCGCTCTCAAAGTGCAGGGCTGCTTGTGGTGCCTAATGTAACGAAGGTTAGAGTGGGAGCATTTAGTTATCAAGCGCCTCTGCTATGGAACCAGGTTCCAATTTGGGTGCGGGAATCAGATAACATCCCCACTTTTAAGGCTAGACTTAAGACTTTTCTGTTTAATAAAGCTTTTAGTTAGGACCGTGTTGAGCAAACTATAAATTATTATAAAATTTTATCGTTTGATAATTTTATTTAGTTGATTTTATTCTGATTGTATTTTATTATGTTTGTTACATTACATTCTGTATTTTATGGTTAATTTTATTTCATTTCAATGCTTTTTATAAAGTGTATTGGGACCGTGTCTTTTGGTGATTTTGCACTTTAAATAAAACCTGACTTGACTTAAACATGTTATTAATACTTCTCCTTAGCACAGAGTACACCGGTGGTGGGTAGTCCACGTGACACAGGGTCACCTCCTGCTAAGATGACCTGCTCGCAGCAGCGTTAATCACCATGACAGCAGACCTCGGGTAAAACCTGTCCCCCTTTCATAGAACGGGTTCATCAGGAAGTTACACCAGACGTTGCCTGGAGAAGACTGGTACCTGCCTCGTAGACCGGGCCTCAGGTCTGGCCCGAGACACCATGTGCAGCACTCAGAGATCTTTCTCACGATTCCAGGTGAACCCATGACATGAGCCCTCACACAGGACCAGGACTCTGAGACAGCAGGGTGTCAGAGCTGAAGCCCAGTCTACCACACTCCATACGGATTACTCATAAATAAAACCTCTCTGGACCAGCTCAGACCTGGACCCTTGTCTCAGCACTGCGGGTTAGGGTCGTTCTAACAGAGACGTCAGTGGTGAGCTCTGGTGAACCTCAGGAACACAGTTCTTCACTCTCAGTTACTCATAATGCACAGTGTACATACCAACATTGGGTCCATGCTGGGCCCTAGTTTAGCCCTTAGCCCAGCCCTCTGTCAACATACAAATGTATGCTGACGACACAGTTCTATATATGCATGCAAAAAACAAACAACAAGCTGCAAACAAACTAACAGCAGCGAACTGGCTAAATAATTCATGTTTACACCTGAATGTAAACAAAACTGTGTGCATGTATTTTTCACTGAGAGCTTCTGACTCCCCACAGCCTCATGTTTTTGAATCTGCATCAGCATTAATATTAAAGATTAAAGATCAAGATTAAAAAGTTTCTACATACTGTACTTCTGTCACTTTTGTCATGTACTATCTTGTATTTCATCTTCTTGCAGTACTTGTTGAAGCACTGTACTGATGTACTGATGATGTTGGACATTAGTTAGTTATAACCTGCTCAGGGACTGCGGATGAAAATTTTGCTAACTCCGGCACTTTTACACTGAACTTTCACTACGGTGCTGATTAATGTGCACTGTCCCTGTTGAATTAATAAATAAAATTTAAAAAAGGCGACAGGTGTTGCTCTGACTCAGGGCTCGGCAACAGAAACAGCTGCAGGTCATTCATGTGTTTCACCAGCAGGAGGCAGCAGGAGGCCTACTCACTGAATCTGCGTCACACATGAACACCTGGACAGTATTCCCATCAGTACCCGTCAGTAACCGTCAGTAACCGTCAGTACCCGTCAGTACCCGTCAGTAACCGTCAGTAACCGTCAGTACCCATCAGTACCCATCAGTACCCGTCAGTACCCGTCAGTAACCGTCAGTAACCGTCAGTAACCGTCAGTAACCGTCAGTACCCATCAGTACCCATCAGTACCCATCAGTAACCATCAGTACCCATCAGTACCCATCAGGCGGGCTCACAGAATACTGCAGTAATACTCCGGTCTGTTAGGACCAGAACTGAGTAAAGACTCTGATTCAGCAAACTAATCTGTGAGGAGATGTGCTGGACAGGTGAGTTGACCTGCACCTGAGGGAGGCCAGCTGTGAACCCAGACCAGAGGACAGGCCTCAGCGTCCCGGACCAGGAACCATGTTTTAGTTTAATTTAAGTTTTTTTAGTTTTAATGATAATTATCACAATATAATTTTCCTCAATATCAATATAATAAATGTTCAATATATCGTCAGTAAATATTTGGTTTAATTAATTAGAATCACGAACAAATTAGCATTTTATTTTTCCATTAAAATATTTATTTTGTTGAGGAAAAAAGATTTAGTAATGATATTTGTTAAATTTGTTTTCATCATAACAGTTTTGAAGGTTCTCCCTCAGATTTGTGAAGTGGTCCTCTGTTTGGCATCAAGTGTTTGTCCCATTCTGACCATAAAGAAAAGTTGAAGCACATAATTAACGAACCATTCATGATGTTTTAAACTGTTGTTGTTATTTATGTATTTGACTGTTCAGCACTTTGGTCAACTGTTGTTTTTAAATGTGCTATAGAAATAAAATTGACATAGACATCTTGTAAGAAATAACGATTTGACGTTTATCGTGATAATTATCGATATCGAATGATATGAAATGTTTTTATTGTGGTAACATTTTTGACCATATCAGCCAGCCCTACAACCAAAGCCTGCACGGAGGGCTCCATGTAAAACAACATGCCACCGTACTGCTCAGATTCTAAACTCTCTATTGGTCCATCAGAGACGCTGCGTAGGTGTTCGGCAGCTGAGCCCGCAGGTGGGCTGATTAAACAGAGACGATCTTTTTCGTTTCTGCAGCTACCAGAATGCTGCCGCTGCTCTATGTCATCAAACCACGGTCATGCTGCGCGATCATGCGCAACAGGAAGTAGCTCTGTAGTACATTTATTTACATTAACATTTACTCATTTAGCATTTATCCAAAGCCACTTACAATTGCTCTACATGTCAGAGGTCAGGCCAGGGCAGGCCAGGTCAGGCTAACCGTAGCATCAGTGTGTGAGGTGATCGTACCGTTTGAACTCCGGACAGATCCTTCTTCATTCCAGTCAGCGTCTGATACAGAACCTGAACAAGAACATCATCATCATCATCATCCATAATGTCTATGAAGATTCTCAGTCATCCAGGTCATAGTTATCCAACGAAGGTTAAAGTCCAGGGCAGCTGGACTTGGTTGAAGCTACTGGAAGACGTTTCGTCCCTCATCCAAAGGACTTCTTCAGTTCTGACTGACTGGCAGGGAAACTCAGCTATTTAACCTCAGTGGGGTCGTTGGCCCGGGTCATCGATACCGCTGGTTCGTTAGTGTTCCTTGTTGCTGTGACGACAGTCGTTACAGTCGTTGAGACTACCTGTGGCCGAGACTGAACGACCATCGTTGGTATCTAGATATACCAACGATGATTAGATATTAGAGATTAGAGATTAGATAGATATTAGATACGATGATTGATTAGATACCAACGATGGTCGTTCAGTCTCGGCCACAGGTAGTCTCAACGACTGTAACGACTGTCGTCACAGCAACAAGGAACACTAACGAACCAGCGGTATCGATGACCCGGGCCAACGACCCCACTGAGGTTAAATAGCTGAGTTTCCCTGCCAGTCAGTCAGAACTGAAGAAGTCCTTTGGATGAGGGACGAAACGTCTTCCAGTAGCTTCAACCAAGTCCAGTTGCCCTTCATTTTAACCTTCGTTGGATATCATCATCCATAGTTTGTCTCTACTCTCTACTGTCTGTCTCTACTTTATCCATACTGTCTGTCTCTACTTTATCTATACTGTGTGTCTCTACTTTATCTATACTGTGTGTCTCTACTGTCTGTCTCTACTTTATCTATACTGTGTGTCTCTACTTTATCTATACTGTCTGTCTCTACTGTCTGTCTCTACTTTATCTATACTGTCTGTCTCTACTTTATCTATACTGTCTGTCTCTACTTTATCTATACTGTCTGTCTCTACTGTCTGTCTCTACTTTATCTATACTGTCTGTCTCTACTTTATCTATACTGTGTGTCTCTACTTTATCTATACTGTCTGTCTCTACTTTATCTATACTGTCTGTCTCTACTGTCTGTCTCTACTTTATCTATACTGTCTGTCTCTACTTTATCTATACTGTCTGTCTCTACTTTATCTATACTGTCTGTCTCTACTTTATCTATACTGTCTGTCTCTACTTTATCTATACTGTGTGTCTCTACTGTCTGTCTCTACTTTATCTATACTGTGTGTCTCTACTTTATCTATACTGTGTGTCTCTACTTTATCTATACTGTCTGTCTCTACTTTATCTATACTGTCTGTCTCTACTTTATCTATACTGTGTGTCTCTACTTTATCTATACTGTCTGTCTCTACTGTCTGTCTCTACTTTATCTATACTGTGTGTCTCTACTTTATCTATACTGTCTGTCTCTACTTTATCTATACTGTGTGTCTCTACTTTATCTATACTGTGTGTCTCTACTGTCTGTCTCTACTTTATCTATACTGTGTGTCTCTACTTTATCTATACTGTGTGTCTCTACTGTCTGTCTCTACTTTATCTATACTGTGTGTCTCTACTTTATCTATACTGTGTGTCTCTACTTTATCTATACTGTCTGTCTCTACTGTCTGTCTCTACTTTATCTATACTGTGTGTCTCTACTTTATCTATACTGTCTGTCTCTACTTTATCTATACTGTGTGTCTCTACTTTATCTATACTGTCTGTCTCTACTTTATCTATACTGTCTGTCTCTACTGTCTGTCTCTACTTTATCTATACTGTCTGTCTCTACTTTATCTATACTGTCTGTCTCTACTGTGTGTCTCTACTTTATCTATACTGTGTGTCTCTACTTTATCTATACTGTGTGTCTCTACTTTATCTATACTGTGTGTCTCTACTTTATCTATACTGTATGTCTCTACTGTGTGTCTCTACTTTATCTATACTGTCTGTCTCTACTGTCTGTCTCTACTTTATCTATACTGTGTGTCTCTACTTTATCTATACTGTCTGTCTCTACTGTCTGTCTCTACTTTATCTATACTGTGTGTCTCTACTTTATCTATACTGTGTGTCTCTACTTTATCTATACTGTCTGTCTCTACTGTCTGTCTCCACTCGTCTCCATGTTGTTGTGTCTCTTACATTGTCGTTGTGTCCACTGATGGCGGACTCCTCCTCCTTGGCCTTCATCAGGCTGACGTCTCGCTCGTAGTGACTCACCTCCGTCAGGGTGCGAGGGATGTAGGCCTTCTTAAACACCTGAGGGGGAGGAGGGAGCGTGTCTTGTTAAAGCTGCCCGTTTAACCCCCAAACATCACGGAAACATGATAGGAAATGGCGTTCCACCAATCTGGAAGAATCTGGTTTAATCTGGCAGGTTAGTCTCAAAACTGACAGTAGGACCCATGTTATCTCTTTTAATCGCTCCACAAATCAGAACATTCTGTCAATGGGCATAAAAAATCTATTTTCCACCTGTTTTCAGGAATAAAATGTTCTGTAGTTCAGGCTGGGAATAAATGAACAAAGTGTAGTCAGGAAGAAAACTGTAAAAGCGCGGTGTCTGAGACAGGGCTCCAGACTGCAGCCAACTTCCTGATTAGAGCTCTGCTAACTTCCTGTTTAGCCCCCTGCTAACTTCCTGTTTAGCCCCCTGCTAACTTCCTGTTTAGCCCCCTGCTAACTTCCAGTTTAGAACTCTGCTAACTTCCTGTTTAGAACTCTGCTAACTTCCTGTTTAGAACTCTGCTAACTTCCTGTTTAGCCCCCTGCTAACTTCCAGTTTAGAACTCTGCTAACTTCCTGTTTAGAACTCTGCTAACTTCCAGTTTAGCCCCCTGCTAACTTCCAGTTTAGCCCCCTGCTAACTTCCAGTTTAGCCCCCTGCTAACTTCCAGTTTAGAACTCTGCTAACTTCCTGTTTAGCCCCCTGCTAACTTCCTGTTTAGAACTCTGCTAACTTCCTGTTTAGAACTCTGCTAACTTCCTGTTTAGCCCCCTGCTAACTTCCTGTTTAGCCCCCTGCTAACTTCCTGTTTAGAACTCTGCTAACTTCCTGTTTAGAACTCTGCTAACTTCCTGTTTAGAACTCCGCTAACTTCCTGTTTAGAACTCTGCTAACTTCCTGTTTAGAACTCTGCTAACTTCCTGTTTAGCCCCCTGCTAACTTGGTGGTAAAATAATGACCGTGCGGCTCTTTTTTCCAAATGTTTCGACTGAATCACACTGACAGTGAAATGCGTCTCGGGGGTTCTGACGCTCAACAGAAAGTTTCCACCATGTTCTAGCCGCTGGATTGGCCGCTGGTGGGCGAGTTCAATCTCAAGCTCTCGCAGTCTGCGGCACCACAACGTGCTGTTACATTTTTTTGATAATGAAGTTCTGACCATTTTGTGTTTGTGCTGCGATAATAAAGAAACATTTCGCTGCAGATTTCCTGTTTACAGTCACATAAAGAACCATCAGAATAAGCTGAGATGGAGCTGAAGCTGCTGGAAAGATGGCGGTGCACCAGTGAAACCAGTGACGGACGTTAGTCTGGGGCCCCCCAGAGAAAAAATTATTTTGAGAAAATGGCTTTAAAGATAAGTTTAATTTTAATCACATTTGTAATGAAAATCAATATTTATAGAGCCAATATCTAATCAGCTCCGTAACAACAGCAATATAGAACTTCCCGAGTAACAGCTGGTCTGTACAGACACAGCCACCCACCGAAAGCTCAACACCACGACACATCTAAACCAACCACACTGTAAGAAATCGACACCGGCCAATCAGATTTCATGCTTAGCTTAAATCCACCTTTATACTTTCACAATTGGTTGCTGTACAAAGGAAATTACCATATTTGGATCTGACAGCGTTGTGCAGGAGAGAGAGTGCTTTCTAACGGTACCGGTGATCATCTGGTGCAGTGACAGCAGGAAGAGACGTAGCGTTACAAAGCTAACTTTAGGAGAAATCAGAGGCACAGAAAGAAAATAAACTTAAAATAAAATAAATTTTCTTTCCACTAGTCTGACAGGAAACGTGTTGGGGAAGCAAAGTAGCCCCAAATCTAACAATTGACCAGAGCGTGATGAAACCATGTTTCTGCCTGTAAAATTCTAATTATTAGAGACTAAATCCATCACCTCCTGTCCTCAACTGGTACAGACTTATCTTCAAGGTCAGGAACCTTGGAAACAGGTTTTAAACCTATAAATATATATTTAGACTTCTTTTCTACCCGAGACGTTTTTCTCTCCACTGAGGCTGCTCACGGTGAAATGTTGGGTCTCTGTTAATACCTGCTCGGTCTGGACCAGCTCTGTAGGAAACGTGACACGAGTTAACTGGAGCTGTGTTAATAACAAAAGAGGTGGATATTACTGTGTCACCTCTTCATCCACTCCGTCCTGATCGGATCGCTGCTCCGACGTCCGCTCAGCTGAAATCACCATCGCCTGGACAAACAATCAAAGACACTCGAATAAACCATTTGGATCTTTGCTCCGTTTTTCGTCTGTGTTTAGATCTGTTTTAGAAATAAAGCTGGATTTTCAGGAAGCGTTCGGACCTTCTCCAGGTATTGGTCGATGTTGTGGCAGGTGATCGACGGGTCGGTGATGAAGTCAAACAGCTCCCTGACCGTCATCACCGCCACCCCGCGCTTCACAAAGAACTCTGGGAAAAAAACACAGTAACAGATCAGCTGGTAATCACATCGCAGAGCATCTCCAACACTGTCTCTACATCAGCAGACTGTTTTACTTTCTCATCAGAGTTCAGGTTCCACAGCAGGAACCGTGCTGCAGCGCCTCACCGTTAACGTTGCTGCAGTCCTTCCTGAGGAACTCGAGAGCGTGAGGATGATCGTGCTCTACAGACTGGGACACGTCGATGATGTAAGCGTCTCCGTTGTGATACCTACAGACAGGTTAGTGAGTTTCAGAGGCATTTTATTTTGAAGGGATTGTGTGTGTAGCGGACGTAGTCTCTTACAACATGTTGAACTCGCTAAGGTCGGCATGGACGAGCCGAGCCTCCTGGAACATCTTCCGCATGTTCTGTAGAACCTGCAGGTAGAGCTCACGAGCCTTCGACTCCGAAAACGACGCGTTCTTCAGCAGAGGAGCCGGCCTGACCAGCAACACACAACAGGGATTAATACAGGAGGCGACCATCACGAGAGGGAGGGATCACTACGGGAGGGAGGGAGGGAGGGATCACTACGGGAGGGAGGGAGGGATCACTACGGGAGGGAGGGAGGGATCACTACGGGAGGGATCACTACGGGAGGGAGACGACCAATACGGGAGGGAGACGACCACTACGGGAGGGAGGGAGGGATCACTACGGGAGGGAGGGAGGGAGGGATCACTACGGGAGGGAGACGACCAATACGGGAGGGAGACGACCACTAAGGGAGGGAGACGACCACTACGGGAGGGAGGGATCACTACGGGAGGGAGGGAGGGATCACTACGGGAGGGAGACGACCAATACGAGAGGGAGACGACCAATACGGGAGGGAGACGACCACTACGGGAAGGAGACGACCACTACGGGAGGGAGACGACCACTACGGGAGGGAGGGAGGGATCAATACGGGAGGGAGGGAGGGATCAATACGGGAGGGAGGGAGGGATCAATACGGGAGGGAGGGATCACTACGGGAGGGAGACGACCACTACGGGAGGGAGGGAGGGATCAATACGGGAGGGAGGGAGGGATCAATACGGGAGGGAGGGATCACTACGGGAGGGAGACGACCACTACGGGAGGGAGACGACCACTACGGGAGGGAGGGATCACTACGGGAGGGAGACGACCACTACGGGAGGGAGACGACCACTACGGGAGGGAGACGACCACTACGGGAGGGAGACGACCACTACGGGAGGGAGGGAGGGATCACTACGGGAGGGAGGGAGGGATCAATACGGGAGGGAGGGAGGGATCAATACGGGAGGGAGGGATCACTACGGGAGGGAGGGATCACTACGGGAGGGAGACGACCACTACGGGAGGGAGACGACCACTACGGGAGGGAGGGATCAATACGGGAGGGAGACGACCAATACGGGAGGGAGACGACCAATACGGGAGGGAGGGATCACTACGGGAGGGAGGGATCACTACGGGAGGGAGACGACCACTACAGGAGGGAGGGATCACTACGGGAGGGAGACGACCACTACGGGAGGGAGGGAGGGATCACTACGGGAGGGAGAGAGGGATCAATACGGGAGGGAGACGACCACTACGGGAGGGAGGGAGGGATCACTACGGGAGGGAGAGAGGGATCAATACGGGAGGGAGACGACCACTACGGGAGGGAGGGATCACTACGGGAGGGAGGGAGGGATCACTACGGGAGGGAGGGAGGGATCAATACGGGAGGGAGACGACCAATACGGGAGGGAGACGACCAATACGGGAGGGAGGGATCACTACGGGAGGGAGACGACCACTACGGGAGGGAGGGATCACTACGGGAGGGAGACGACCACTACGGGAGGGAGGGATCACTACGGGAGGGAGACGACCACTACGGGAGGGAGGGATCACTACGGGAGGGAGACGACCACTACGGGAGGGAGACGACCACTACGGGAGGGAGGGATCAATACGGGAGGGAGACGACCACTACGGGAGGGAGGGATCACTACGGGAGGGAGGGAGGGATCAATACGGGAGGGAGGGAGGGATCAATACGGGAGGGAGGGAGGGATCAATACGGGAGGGAGACGACCACTACGGGAGGGAGGGATCACTACGGGAGGGAGGGATCACTACGGGAGGGAGGGAGGGATCAATACGGGAGGGAGGGAGGGATCAATACGGGAGGGAGGGAGGGATCAATACGGGAGGGAGACGACCAATACGGGAGGGAGACGACCACTACGGGAGGGAGGGATCACTACGGGAGGGAGGGATCACTACGGGAGGGAGACGACCACTACGGGAGGGAGACGATCACTACGGGAGGGAGACGATCACTACGGGAGGGAGACGACCACTACGGGAGGGAGACGACCACTACGGGAGGGAGACGACCAATACGGGAGGGAGGGAGGGATCACTACGGGAGGGAGACGACCACTACGGGAGGGAGACGACCACTACGGGAGGGAGGGAGGGATCACTACGGGAGGGAGACGATCACTACGGGAGGGAGACGACCACTACGGGAGGGAGACGACCACTACGGGAGGGAGACGACCACTACGGGAGGGAGGGAGGGATCACTACGGGAGGGAGGGAGGGATCACTACGGGAGGGAGACGACCAATACGGGAGGGAGGGAGGGATCACTACGGGAGGGAGACGACCACTACGGGAGGGAGACGACCACTACGGGAGGGAGGGAGGGATCACTACGGGAGGGAGACGACCACTACGGGAGGGAGACGACCACTACGGGAGGGAGACGACCACTACGGGAGGGAGGGATCAATACGGGAGGGAGACGACCACTACGGGAGGGAGGGAGGGATCACTACGGGAGGGAGACGACCACTACGGGAGGGAGACGACCACTACGGGAGGGAGGGACCACTACGGGAGGGAGACGACCACTACGGGAGGGAGGGAGGGATCACTACGGGAGGGAGACGACCACTACGGGAGGGAGACGACCACTACGGGAGGGAGACGACCACTACGGGAGGGAGGGAGGGATCACTACGGGAGGGAGACGACCACTACGGGAGGGAGACGACCACTACGGGAGGGAGGGATCCATACGGGAGGGAGACGACCTCTACGGGAGGGAGGGAGACAATAAATACGGGAGGGAGGGATCACTACGGGAGAGAGGGATCACTACGGGAGAGAGGGATCACTACGGGAGGGAGAGAGGGATCACTACGAGAGAGAGGGATCACTACGGGAGGGAGAGAGGGATCACTACGAGAGAGAGGGATCACTACGGGAGGGAGAGAGGGATCACTACGAGAGAGAGGGATCACTACGGGAGGGAGGGAGGGATCACTACGACAGAGAGGGATCACTACGGGAGGGAGGGAGGGATCACTACGAGAGAGAGGGATCACTACGGGAGGGAGACGACCACTACAGGAGGGAGGGATCACTACGAGAGAGAGGGATCACTACGGGAGGGAGACGACCACTACGGGAGGGAGGGATCACTACGGGAGGGAGGGAGGGATCACTACGACAGAGAGGGATCACTACGGGAGGGAGGGAGGGATCACTACGAGAGAGAGGGATCACTACGGGAGGGAGACGACCACTACAGGAGGGAGGGATCACTACGAGAGAGAGGGATCACTACGGGAGGGAGACGACCACTACAGGAGAGAGGGATCACTACGAGAGAGAGGGATCACTACGGGAGGGAGACGACCACTACGGGAGGGAGGGATCACTACGGGAGGGAGGGAGGGATCACTACGACAGAGAGGGATCACTACGGGAGGGAGGGAGGGATCACTACGAGAGAGAGGGATCACTACGGGAGGGAGGGAGGGATCACTACGAGAGAGAGGGATCACTACGGGAGGGAGACGACCACTACAGGAGGGAGGGATCACTACGGGAGGGAGGGAGGGATCACTACGGGAGGGAGACGACCACTACAGGAGAGAGGGATCACTACGAGAGAGAGGGATCACTACGGGAGGGAGACGACCACTACGGGAGGGAGGGATCACTACGGGAGGGAGGGAGGGATCACTACGACAGAGAGGGATCACTACGGGAGGGAGGGAGGGATCACTACGAGAGAGAGGGATCACTACAGGAGGGAGACGACCACTACAGGAGGGAGGGATCACTACGGGAGGGAGGGAGGGATCACTACGAGAGGGAGACGACCACTACGGGAGAGAGGGATCACTACGAGAGAGAGGGATCACTACGGGAGGGAGACGACCACTACAGGAGGGAGGGATCACTACGGGAGGGAGGGAGGGATCACTACGAGAGGGAGACGACCACTACGGGAAGGAGGGATCACTACGGGAGGGAGGGAGGGATCACTACGAGAGGGAGACGACCACTACGGGAGGGAGGGAGGGATCACTACGAGAGAGAGGGATCACTACGGGAGGGAGACGACCACTACGGGAGGGAGGGATCACTACGGGAGGGAGGGATCACTACGGGAGGGAGACGACCACTACGGGAGGGAGGGATCACTACGGGAGGGAGGGATCACTACGGGAGGGAGACGACCACTACGGGAGGGAGGGAGGGATCACTACGGGAGGGAGGGATCACTACGGGAGGGAGACGACCACTACGGGAGGGAGGGATCACTACGGGAGGGAGGGAGGGAGGGATCACTACGGGAGGGAGGGATCACTACGATGTTCTTTTTTCTTTGATAATGTATGTCTCCAGTTTAGATATAGATTTACGGCTATTGATTATAGATCATCTCTCTCATACATCTGGTTTCTCTGCCTGTTTTTGTTTCACACTTGCATTGACAAAATTTCCTCTGTCAATAAAAAAATTTGAACTGATCAAATCTGATCACGACATGGAAGGACAGTCAATTTATTGGTGCACGTCTGATCAGTCACCCGGATTGGTTCTTACATGTTGTCTTTTCCAATGAAGCTCATCAACAGAACATGACTTCTGAGCAGTAGAGGTTCTGGACTCGGGATTCCTGCCGTCTGCAGCCTGAAACACACACATTTTCAGATTCTACCTGGTCTAATCTGTCAGATCAAGTTCCAAAGGGTTCTATGTCAGTTATAACAGGTCCTACTTGGTTCAGATTAAGTGCTACTGGGTTCTATGTGTCATTTACAACAGGTTCTACTGGTTTTAATCTGTCAGATCAGTTATAATGGGTTGTAGTTTCAGTTATAACTGATTCTACTGGGTTTAATCTATGAGATCATTTATTATGGGCTCTATGTGTCAGTTATAAAAGGTTCTCCTGGGCTTAATCTGTAAGATCAAATGCTACTGGTCTATGTAAGTCATAACAGGTACTATCTGTCAGATCAGGTTCTACTGAGTTTAATCTGTCAGATCAGTTATAATGGGTTCTATGTACGTTATAACAAGTTCTACTTGGTTCAGATCAAGTGCTTCTGGGTTCTATGTGTCAGTTACAACAGTTTCTACTGGGTTTCATCTGTCAGATCAGTTATAATGGGTTCTATGTCAGTTAGAACAGGTTCTACTGGGTTTTATCTATCAGATCAGTTATAAAGGGTTCTATGTCAGTTACAACAGGTTCTACTGGGTTTTATCTATCAGATCAAGTTATAATGGGTTCTAGTTTCAGTTATAAAAGGTTCTGCTGTGTACTATCTGTCAGATCAGGTTCTATTGGGTTTTGCGCGTCAGTAGAAAGGTTCTGACCTGATGAGGTTCCTCATCTCCTTTTCTGCCCACGTTCTCACCATTTTTCTTGGGTTTCCTTTACAGTAACCGTGACGGAACCTGCAGAAAAACAAAGAACATCTTATTACCTCCAGATAACCAATAACAACCAATCACAATCCAAACTAGAATAGCAAGCAGTTGAAAGAGGGGTCCAAGTCTATGAAACGTATGTCTATGGAGTGTTATTTGATATACGAATAATAGCGCCACCTAGAGGCCGACTGACACCAAATTTCACACAGCCCCTCAGGAGGGCGTGGCAGATAAGGTCCCCGAGTTGCGGCTTCGGAGGAGTTAATTAAAATATGTTTTTCAGTTGTTGCGATGTAGCGAAAAACTGGGCGGAAATGGGCGTGGCCTATACCATTTGATTCAGCTTCAACCCCGAACGCACGGATATAAGGTTTTTATTATGCGCCTTCGCATGCGAGTTCCAAGGTAAAACTGACCTGAACTCTTCTTCTGCGGCGGCGACTGACCTGAACTCTTCTGCGGCGGTGGCGACTGACCTGAACTCCCCACTGACGTATTTGTCCCGGTCTTTAAACAGCAGGATGGAGGTCTTGTAGATCTTGATGGCTCTGCTGTCTCCGGCCGACGTGCTGGCGTGATAAACGTTGGCCTGACAGGTCAGGTGAACACAGCTGGTTATTTACCTGCACAGGTAACAGCTGGGCACAGCGTCCGCTCACAGCAGACTACACCGACCCACCTTGATCAGTATAAATAAGGTTATTGATAAGTGATTTCTGACCTCCTTCCCAGTACTGATGCAGCCGTTGATTTCACAGATGACTCCTCGACTCAACATCTTGAAGAGAATCATTCGAGTTCGAGGATCTAAAACCTGCAGAAGAAGAAGAAGCACAAATGTTTCAGGTCTGCAGTTATTGATCTGTGATCAGCAGCGGAGAGATTAAATCAGGGCTTCACTTGTGTTTGTCCATCAGCGGATCAGATGCATTCGGAAGTTCTCACAGGAGTCCAGGCTTTTCAAATTAAACTACACATAAACGATCAGTTTTCATCCTGCTGTTCACTTCCTGTCAGGGCTTTTCTAAATAAAAGCATCTTCGTGTGAAAGAGCAGCTCACCTGTTCGACTGTGGCTCGGTCCGATTTGTCCTTAACTCTGTACCTGCAGAGCCAATCAGAGCGTTAGTCTCTGCAGTCACATGACCTGTGATGTAAAAACCCTGAGGTGAGTTTAGACGTACGTGTCGGCTTCTTTCTGCTTCTGCATCGAGGTCACTTTATTGATCACTGAGTCGGCGTAATTCAGTTTATCTGGAATCAAAACAAACGGATCAGAATCTTTCCCATTGATTATGTATGTGTGTGTGTTACATACAGTGTGTGTTACAGTGTGTGTGTGTGTGTGTGTGTTACATACAGTGTGTGTGTGTGTGTGTGTTACATACAGTGTGTGTTATACAGTGTGTGTTACAGTCTGTGTGTGTGTGTTACAATGTGTGTGTGTGTGTGTTACAATGTGTGTGTGTGTGTTACAATGTGTGTGTGTGTGTGTGTCAATGTGTGTGTGTGTGTGTCAATGTGTGTGTGTGTGTGTGTCAATGTGTGTGTGTGTGTGTGTGTGTTACATACAGTGTGTGTGTGTGCGTGTGTTTGTGTGTGTGTGTCAATGTGTGTGTGTGTGTGTCAATGTGTGTGTGTGTGTGTCAATGTGTGTGTGTGTGTTACATACAGTGTGTGTGTGTGTGCGTGTGTGTGCGTTACCCAGGTTGATCTTGTGTTCGTATTTCCTCAGAGCTTTATCAGTCGGAGTTGCCGGCAGCGTCTTATTGGACGGATTCTGTCTGTTGGACTGACCAATAAGAACACAGAACTGACGTCAGCTGACACGATCATTGATAATCATTAGTAATCCATCAGATTGATCAGCGTGTCTGACCTGACAGTTCAGACCCGTCCGGTTGTATCTTTTAGTCAGATCTCCTGCTGAACGCCACGCCCACTCTTCATCATCCTCCTCATCGTCGTCGTCGTCGTCTTCCTCTTCCTCCTCCTCCTCCTCCTCCCGCTCTGATGAAGGCTGCAGAGTGACATCACTCAGACTCTGTGCAGCCGACATCTCTGATTGGCCGCTACAGCAGAGAGAAAACAAAACAGAGGCCGCGTTTCTCAGTTTGTACCTCCCTCCCCGGATGCTCTGACGTCACGACGCCGAACTCTCTGACATCTGACGTCACGACGCCGAACTCTCTGACATCTGACGTCGGGACGCCGAACTCTCTGACATCTGACGTCGGGACGCCGAACTCTCTGACATCTGACGTCGGGACGCCGAACTCTCTGACATCTGACGTCGGGACGCCGAACTCTCTGACATCTGACGTCGGGACGCCGAACTCTCTGACATCTGACGTCGGGACGCCGAACTCTCTGACGTCGGGACGCCGAACTCTCTGACGTCGGGACGCCGAACTCTCTGACGTCGGGGCGCCGAACTCTCTGACATCTGACGTCGGGGCGCCGAACTCTCTGACATCTGACGTCGGGACGCCGAACTCTCTGACGTCGGGGCGCCGAACTCTCTGACGTCGGGGCGCCGAACTCTCTGACGTCGGGGCGCCGAACTCTCTGACATCTGACGTCGGGGCGCCGAACTCTCTGACATCTGACGTCGGGGCGCCGAACTCTCTGACATCTGACGTCGGGACGCCGAACTGACGGTTACTGAGGGTACTGACGGGTACTGACGGGTACTGACGGTTACTGATGGTACTGACGGGTACTGACGGTTACTGATGGTACTGACGGGTACTGATGGTTACTGATGGTACTGACGGGTACTGATGGTACTGACGGTTACTGATGGTACTGACGGGTACTGACGGGTACTGACGGTTACTGATGGTACTGACGGGTACTGATGGTTACTGATGGTACTGACGGGTACTGATGGTACTGACGGTTACTGATGGTACTGACGGGTACTGACGGGTACTGACGGTTACTGATGGTACTGACGGGTACTGATGGTTACTGATGGTACTGACGGGTACTGACGGGTACTGACGGTTACTGATGGTACTGACGGGTACTGACGGTTACTGATGGTTACTGATGGTACTGACGGGTACTGATGGTACTGACGGGTACTGACGGTTACTGATGGTTACTGATGGTACTGATGGTACTGACGGGTACTGATGGTACTGACGGGTACTGACGGGTACTGACGGTTACTGATGGTACTGACGGGTACTGACGGTTACTGATGGTACTGATGGTACTGACGGGTACTGATGGTACTGACGGGTACTGACGGTTACTGACGGTTACTGATGGTACTGATGGTACTGACGGGTACTGACGGTTACTGATGGTACTGACGGGTACTGATGGTACTGACGGGTACTGACGGGTACTGACGGTTACTGATGGTACTGACGGGTACTGACGGTTACTGACGGTTACTGATGGTACTGATGGTACTGACGGGTACTGATGGTTACTGATGGTACTGACGGGTACTGACGGGTACTGACGGGTACTGATGGTACTGACGGGTACTGACGGGTACTGATGGTTACTGATGGGTTCGGGCTGCTCTATCCACCTCTGCTTGTACACATTATGTGTACAGGTACTTCTGGTACACACGCACAAGTACTTCAGGACGTGTCTCGGTAAATAAACGGCCTCACGTGACGTTAATATTATTATTATTATCGATCAGAGCTTCTCACCTGTTCTCCTCCTCTGCGTCATCAAACTGTCCAGGTACGGAGCCGACCACCGACATGACGTCACACACGGTCACACACCAACACCGAAACCAGAACTGAACCTGAACCCGGTCCAAAGCGAGCCAAGCCGAGTCACAGCAGCTCAGTGTTCACACAGCGTGCTCCCTCCACTTCCTGGTCAGAACACGTGACTACGGTGGAAGGCGAGGGACTTTTAGCGAACTGCAGATCAGAACAAACTACAACACAGCTGATTGGAAGTGACGTCAAAATGACGCTAGCTTCTCATAGAGCTCTTCAGCCGGAAGCTTTTTATTTTGAAAACCCCTCACAGGAAGCAGGTTGTAGCGGGTCACCAGGACCAGGATCCGGACGCTGCTCAGAGGACAGAGATGCAGTCTGCTGATCTGGACCGGACTCCCCGGTCCCTGCTGGTCTGTGAGCGGTCCAGCTTCCTGGATGAGAAGAACCGGCTGAGCTCTCAGGTGGAGCAGCTGCACTTCAACCACAAGGTTAGCTCGTTAGCTCGTTAGCATGTTAGCTTAGCCAGTTAGCAGCTAACAGAAAAAAAACGTGCTTGGCACGGGATTTCAAAATAAAAGTCTGAAAACAGATGATGGTGACACAGAAAACCGCAGGCAGGTCCGTGGGGGGGGGGCAGGAAGTTAATGTGTGACTGGGTCGGGGGAACAGCGAGCTCTACAGCTGTGATTTTACCAGCAAGAACATCAGCTTGCTGATAGAATCACAATCAGCTTTATTGCCAAGTAGTGTTTTACACATACGAGGAATTTGCTGTGGTGATGAGGTGCTGCACGTAGACAAACACACAGTCAACATAAATAAATGTAGAAATATATAATATGGAAGAACAGCGTTACAGATATATACATGTGCGTTATTCTGGGTCTGTGCCGTGCAGAACGCAACGGAAGAGAATAGGAGTGATTTGTCTTGGTAGGAGGTCACTGTGGGAGAGAGATGGACGGAGATCCAAAAAGTGCAGGAGTGGGAAGGAGTCCGAAATACCTGGTGCAGGTCTGAGCAGTCCACGCCGACGTCCTGCTTCTGTCCATGTAGAAATACGTTGGAGCATTTTAAATCCTCAACCTCATTCAGAGTCAGATATTTGGAAGGTAGCGCCAAGTTATTCCACTAAGGAGCAGCATGTGGACCAGAGACTAGCTCGGTCATTGGTCGTCAGGCTGGAGGAGAAACAGGTCTGGTCAACTGAGGCAGGACAGTTCAGGCAGATTCTGGAAGAACCAGAAGGGGTCGCATCAAAACCTAAGACCTGGTCCTTCGGTGGGAGGAGCTGATTCACCTGAGAGATTCCACAGACAGAACCAAAACTACTGTAAGTTCATCAAGCCCTAAAATTGTAGAAAAACCTCCGGACCTGACCTTATTGATCCTAATGTCTTGAAATTGGCAGCCGATTTTGTAGCTGTGCCTCTTACGTGTCTGTTTAACCTTCCAGTGGAAATCGGCTTTTGTTCTCCCTTTATTAAAAGGGGGTGACCCAGCTATTCTAAATAATTACAGGCCAATATCTCATTTATCAGTACTAGCTAAGATTCTTGAAGATGTGAGAGATGAACTAAAGGAGTTTTTATACTCAAATACAGTTTTTTTCCTACAAATCAGTCAGTCTTCAGAAAAAGATGTGGCACCATCACAGCTGCAATGATGACGATTTGGTTGCACTTGACAAGCGGCAACATTTGGCATTAATCTTTATTGATCTGTCCAAAGCTTTCGATACTGTTGATCATTGCCTCATATTACCTCAGGACTTTCAGAGCAAGCAGTTGTATTAGCTGTGAGGTCTATGTTCCAGTACTGTAGCAGTCACTAAGGGGATACCACAGGGCTCTGTATTAGGTCCACTTTTATTCACTATTTATATAAACAATATGGGTCAAAATGTGTCAAATGCAAATCTTCTAAATCTGATACTGTCATATGTTGCTGTGCGTCAGCTCTTATACAAGCAACCAAAATACCCTTATGCAGCTGAAATTAGTTCTAAATGCAGATAAGACCAAACTTATGTTGTTTACCAAATCCAGGACCAGGCTTCAAAGCATCCCTCCGGTGGTCCCTCTGGGGGGACGTGAAACGGAGGTTGTTACCTCCTATAAAAACCTCGGTCTTTCGATTGATGGCTCCCTGACTTTTAAGCCACATGTGCTGCACCTGGTGAAAACGCTGTGCCTAAAACTGGGTTTTTATTTTCAAAATAAATAGTTTTTCTTTTAATGTAAAAAGCGATTTGTGGCCACCACTTGTTTATCTGTTCTGGACTACGGTGATCTTTTATATATGCATACCTCTGCACAGAGTCTTCATATGATTGACACAGCCTACAAATTGCAAAGCGCTGACTCACCACTGTAAGCTATACTCTCGGGTAGGTGGCGTCCTCTGGCCACCCGAAGGCTCTGTCACTGGTACACTTTCATATATAAGGCAATTCTTGCTCTGCTGCCAAACTAACTATATGTTCATATCATGCAGAAAAGTAACGGGCGTCACTCTTTGCATTCTCAGGACTTCTTTATGCTCTCTGTGCCAAAGACCCGAACTGTATTCTGCACCTTCAGCATGGAGTACATTGCAAAATGACTTGAAACTCACCGAATTCATCTCACTAAACGCATTTAAATCCAAAATGAAAGACAGATGCCATAATATGTAAATGCTGTTGGAGTGTAAAGATGACTTTATGAAATGTTAGCTTACCAGTCTCGTGTTATTCGTCTGTACCTGTGTTGGTATTTTTTATATGCTGCTGCCTGTCTTGGCCAGGTCACCCTTGCGGGGATTAAGAGGTTCTTAATCTCAACGGGCCTCTCCTGGTTAAATAAAATAATACAAGACACGTAGTACAAATACACACTAACACTGCAGTACTGCTGCACGTCAAGTGATTAGTATCCTGATACACAGAATAATACTTAGTATTACTGCTAGTATTATTATTATTAAGTACTGCACTGAGTGTCTGAATACAGAAATCTAATATCCAGCGGACATTTACGTCTCATCACTAGTTTAGTTCCACAGATTAAGTTTGATCATTCAGACGTTCTAAAGAGAACCAGCAGGAACGTCTGGAGAACAGGTGTGTGCTCAGGGGGGCTGTTCTGTGCTGAAACGCAGGTGAGTTACATGTGTGTCATGCCAGAAAACACAAATGTCACTCAGCTTAAGGAATGTGTCGTTTCACCTGTGCAGGTGTCTGTGCTGCTGCCTGAGTGTAGCTCCGCCCCCTCTCACCTGGATGCTGCATTAAACAGTTTCAGCAGTTTCTACCTGATCAGGAAGCTGCCAGTATACGAAGTGCTGGACAAACACTTCCTGGAGACGGCCGTTTACCAGGGTAACACCTGCACACGCACACCTGCGCACCTGCACACACACCCACACACCTGCACACACACACCTGCATGCACACACACCTGATGAACAAACAGCAGCAGACTGTTAACGTGTGGAAATGTGTGCGTGTTTCAGGTAGTGTGTACGGTGTGTCATACAGGACCAGGGTGGATGAAGATCCCTGCGTCGCTCTGACGCCAAACGGTAAAAACTCAACACTGCTGACATCATCAGAACCCCACCTGGTGATGTCATCATCTATCATGAACAGGTGTCTGTCTCTCTGTCTGCAGGTCACCTGACTCTCTCTCTGGATAAAGACTCGTATGAGTTGTTGGGAGTTGAAGGGAAACCGTCCAGATTCAACCACAGAGCAAAGTGCAGATTCGGTCAGTGACATCACGCTGACATCACGCTGACATGTGCGGTGTGTTTCTCCTGTCACTCAGCGTCTGTATATGTGTGTTTTACAGTGGTATCTATTAATTTGACTGACAGCAGCATGGCTCCTGGTGGGCGGGGCTACCAGAGACTCCTCACAGGCCTGAAGTCACGACTTCTACTGAAAACAGACTTCCTGCTGACACATCATCCAGGTGAGCTAACTTCATGCTAAAGCTAATGTAACTAGCATGGAAGTCACTTGGAAGCAACAACATGAGTGGGGGCGGGGCAAAAGCTAGAGGGCGAGTGCTAGAGGGCGAGTGCTAGAGGGCGAGTGCTAGAGGGCGTGGGCTAGAGGGCGTGGGCTAGAGGACGATTGCTGGAGGGCGTGGACTAGAGGGCAAAAGCTAGAGGGCGTGGGCTAGAGGGCGAGTGCTGGAGGGCAAAAGCTAGAGGGCGTGGGCTAGAGGGCGAGTGCTGGAGGGCAAAAGCTAGAGGGCGTGGGCTAGAGGGCGAGTGCTGGAGGGCAAAAGCTAGAGGGCATGGGCTAGAGGGCGAGTGCTGGAGGGCAAAAGCTAGAGGGCATGGGCTAGAGGGCGAGTGCTGGAGGGCAAAAGCTAGAGGGCGAGGGCTGGAGGGCAAAAGCTAGAGGGCAAAAGCTAGAGGGCGTGGGCTAGAGGGCGAGTGCTGGAGGGCAAAAGCTAGAGGGCGTGGGCTAGAGGGCAAAAGCTAGAGGGCGTGGGCTAGAGGGCGTGGGCTAGAGGGCGAGTGCTGGAGGGCAAAAGCTAGAGGGCGTGGGCTAGAGGGCAAAAGCTAGAGGGCGTGGGCTGAAGGGCAAAAGCTAGAGGGCGTGGGCTAGAGGGCGAAAAGCTAGAGAGCGTGGGCTGGAGGGCAAAAGCTAGAGGGCGTGGGCTAGAGGGCAAAAGCTAGAGGGCGTGGGCTGAAGGGCAAAAGCTAGAGGGCGTGGGCTAGAGGGCGAAAAGCTAGAGGGCGTGGGCTAGAGGGCGAGTGCTGGAGGGCAAAAGCTAGAGGGCGTGGGCTAGAGGGCAAAAGCTAGAGGGCGTGGGCTAGAGGGCGAAAAGCTAGAGGGCATGGGCTAGAGGGCATGGGCTAGAGGGCGAGTGCTGGAGGGCAAAAGCTAGAGGGCGAGGGCTGGAGGGCAAAAGCTAGAGGGCGTGGGCTAGAGGGCGAGTGCTGGAGGGCAAAAGCTAGAGGGCGTGGGCTAGAGGGCAAAAGCTAGAGGGCGTGGGCTAGAGGGCGAGTGCTGGAGGGCAAAAGCTAGAGGGCGTGGGCTAGAGGGCAAAAGCTAGAGGGCGAGGGCTGGAGGGCAAAAGCTAGAGGGCGAGTGCTGGTGGGCGAGTGCTGGAGGGCAAAAGCTAGAGGGCGTGGGCTAGAGGGCAAAAGCTAGAGGGCGTGGGCTAGAGGGCGAGTGCTGGAGGGCAAAAGCTAGAGGGCAAAAGCTAGAGGGCGAGTGCTGGAGGGCAAAAGCTAGAGGGTGAGTGCTGGAGGGCAAAAGCTAGAGGGTGAGTGCTGGAGGGCGAGTGCTGGAGGGCAAAAGCTAGAGGGCGTGGGCTAGAGGGCGAGGGCTGGAGGGCAAAAGCTAGAGGGCGAGGGCTGGAGGGCAAAAGCTAGAGGGCGTGGGCTGGAGGGCAAAAGCTAGAGGGCGAGGGCTGGAGGGCAAAAGCTAGAGGGCGAGGGCTGGAGGGCAAAAGCTAGAGGGCGTGGGCTGGAGGGCAAAAGCTAGAGGGTGAGTGCTGGAGGGCAAAATGCTAGAGGGTGTGGGCTAGAGGGCGAGTGCTGGAGGGCAAAAGCTAGAGGGCGAGGGCTGGAGGGTAAAAGCTAGAGGGCGTGGGCTAGAAGGCGAGTGCTAGAGGGCAAAAGCTAGAGGGCGTGGGCTAGAGGGCATAGACGGGAGCGCTCCATGACATCACTGCAGCGCTGTGAGACGGAGGGTTGGTAGAGTTACACTGTAATGCCACCCATAACCCCATCCTGTCTGTCCTGTAGGGGGCGGGGCCTCTCTGCAGCCCCTCCTGTCTCGTTACGATTGGTCGGAGCACAGACCTGAGGTCAGCAGCCGCACTTTGACAGACCTGTCCTGCCCCGCCTTGCTGACCTCTGACCTGCAGTCACGTGACCCTCATAGCTTCCTGGAGTGGCTCGGAGCCGTGGATGCCGACGTCAGCTGGTGAGAGGACGGACGCCGTGACGACGCGTCTCACTTTACCTGCTGTGTAAACACCTGTCACGTGTCCTCTCATTGGCTCTTCTTCTGTGGTTTCAGCGAGAATTCGTCCAGCAGCTTCCTGTCCTCGCTGGTCTGTCCTGAGCCGAAGACAACGCTGAGTCGAGCTCTGAGCGTCTCTGTCTACGGACTGCTGCTTCCTCAGGACGTCCACGGCCTCATCCAGCAGCTCAGGTCAGCTGACCTCTGACCTGAGGGGCTGGGAAGGATTTACACCCAGGAAGCAGGTCCAGAACTGGTTTCAGATCTGAGTCCACATGACGCAGCCAGTCGGTTCTGTTCTTCCTGTTCAGATGAAGTGATGCTAAAGCAGCTACGCTAACCTCAAGGAGCCGCCATTGTTGTTTTCAGTCACTTCGCTTCTTGCCGTCGTCGCGCCTAAACCTGCTAATAGCTGCCGGTAGTTCTTCATAGGACACGGATCGGTCCAGACCGCGTAACCTGAAGCCTGTCAGTCTCTTAGTGAATCTGTCCTGAGCGGACAGGGTGTCGGGCTCTCAGCTCAGACTGAGTCTGTGATGGTCCCGACCCCTGTCCCGACCCCTGTCCCGACCCCCGTGTATATATGTAGACCAGCTGCAGATCCCACTCTGCCCTGCAGTTGAAATCTAGACATGACGTCACCGTCTGTACACAGCCTGTAAACAGACAGCGTTTCCCGTAGCGTTGAACTACGTTGTTACGATGCATCGTTAAACTAACCAGCAGTTGAAAACGTTCGGACCAACGTGGTTCCAGGTGCGTTCGTCTGACTTTCACAGCAGGAAACTCACCCAACGTCTTCACATCCTGCCTGAATGTGTCAGCTGTGACATTATTATGCTAACTTTTCATTTTATAGAAACAAGAAAATGAACAATATAAATAAAATAAGCTGATGATTTTATTTGGTCTTTATTGAGCTCTAAGGAAAAGTGAAGAACTGACATTTAGTAAAATAGGTTTGATCAAGTATTTTCGTTTCAACACTTGAACACATTTATGAATCGTCTGGCCACAAACCAGCGATGGTTCCTGCCTGGACGTTACCTTCGTAGTTCGAACGAGGGTTTTGGGAAACTTTTATCACCATAGTAACAAGGCGTTTCTGACCGGGAATACAAACGATAATTAAAACCAGGTTGTCTGACCTCACAGCTGGCGACACATCAAAGGCTTCACCACAGAACACGGCCCAACCCAAAGTCCAAACCCAGACCAGAACCCAGACCTGCTGCTCACCTGCAGCCTCGAGCGAACTGTCAGGGTGTAAATCCTCTTCCTGTCCCTCCTGGTTTCGTCTAACTGATGCAAGTCTAAAATGATTAAAGGAGAATCCTGATCCAGGCCCGGAGTAAGTGGGGCCCCGTTGGGCTGGGGCTGAAATGCTCTGACCCTTAGTCCATGACCTGTACTGTGTACATTAGTGTTCCTCTGAAACCTGAATCATGTCCTCGCCTGTCCTGCAGGAGGTACCTGGAGCAGCCTCGGTTGGAGTCCTGGGTGTCGCTGACGGTTCACGGTTTTGTTGACAGTCCGGTGTCGTGGGGGGGCAACGAGCACGGGGTCCTGAGAGGAGGAGAGAACTTCTACAGTCTGCTGCTGTTCCACGACCACACCTACCACCTCCACCTGGCTACAGGGGCCCAGGACGCCTGTCCCTCGTGACCACACCTACCACCTCCGCCTGGCTACAGGGGCCCAGGACGCCTGTCCCTCGTGACCACACCTACCACCTCCGCCTGGCTACAGGGGCCCAGGACGCCTGTCCCTCATGACCACACCTACCACCTCCGCCTGGCTACAGGGGCCCAGGACGCCTGTCCCTCATGACCACACCTACCACCTCCGCCTGGCTACAGGGGCCCAGGACGCCTGTCCCTCATGACCACACCTACCACCTCCGCCTGGCTACAGGGGCCCAGGACGCCTGTCCCTCATGACCACACCTACCACCTCCGCCTGGCTACAGGGGCCCAGGACGCCTGTCCCTCATGACCACACCTACCACCTCCACCTGGCTACAGGGGCCCAGGACGCCTGTCCCCCACGAGGACGCCAGCTGGTTTCAGTGTTGTCACCTCTTTGGTGTGTTTTGCAGTTTAAACCGATTGCAGCTCACTTTGGATTAAAATGCCTCAGACTTTTATTTGTGAGCGGAAATATTTTATTTGAGGTGAAAGCAGAAACTTTCTGAAAGTGTCGCTTTGAATTCTTGTCATCTGGATCAGAGTTCTGTGAATCTGTGATCGTTTGTGTTCATCTGAATCTGATTTATTAAAAGGCTCTTTGTAAAAAGTCCCTTCAGCCTGATTCACCTGTCTGTCCATCACTCACACTGTCCAGTAAATATGAAGCTATAGCAGCTACTTAGCTTAGCTTAGCATAAAGACTGCTAACAGCTGTCCGAAGGTCGGAAACCCTGAAACGTCACCGTGTTTCCAAACGTGGCGTTCTCGGTTTATTAACAGGAGGTAAAGGTCTCTGCTTCTCTGCAGGATGCTGGAAAAAAACATTTTTCTTCTCTGCGATATGAAAAAAAATTAAGAATTATTTGTGTGATTATGAAGGAAAAGCTGAAAATGTTACTTTTAGTCTGAAGACTTTGAGGTCAAACTTTAAAGAACAAAGATAACAGAGCAGCTGAACACAGAGAGGCCGATACAGCTTTGTGCAACCAAAGCCACTGATCTCAGCTGACGACGACTAACAGGGGCGCAGATCTACATACAGGTCTAGATCTATATGTAGATATAATCTGTAGAGATTTTTGGGAGCGTTAGCCGTGTGGTTAGCGGTTAGCTCAGATTATAAATAAACAGCCAGCAGACGACTTACTGAAACGTGGTTAAAGTTTAATTTCACATGTGACATAAGCTCAGGTTCAGGACTCTGGATCACAGTCCAGTCTGCTCACCTGGACCCGGGTCAGGACTGACAGGCCACCGCCCACACACAGCAGCGCCGCTGTCTCACCTCTCAGGTGTCAACAGATACCCATAATTCGTCCCAGTCAAACTGCTGCATGATCATACAAATGTTCTTAGTGACTTCAGAGTCCTGCCAGCGCCCCCTGCAGGCTGACCTTAGTCCTGATGGCTTGATCTCTGTTCACAAAAAACAGTTCATTTCCTGTTTCTGCTCAGCCTCCACTTCCTGTTTATTCTTCCATGCACACATTCATCAGAGGGAATTCTGGGAGAAGGTCAGAGGTCGTCTCGATTTAAAGGAGTAGCTTAGCACCAAGACTGAAAGCAGAGGGACACTGTTAGCCTAGCTTAGCACCAAGACTGAAAGCAGAGGGACACTGCTAGCCTAGCTTAGCACCAAGACTGAAAGCAGAGGGACACTGTTAGCCTAGCTTAGCACCAAGACTGAAAGCAGAGGGACACTGTTAGCCTAGCTTAGCACCAAGACTGAAAGCAGAGGGACACTGCTAGCCTAGCTTAGCACCAAGACTGAAAGCAGAGGGACACTGCTAGCCTAGCTTAGCACCGAGACTGAAAGCAGAGGGACACTGTTAGCCTAGCTTAGCACCAAGACTGAAAGCAGAGGGACACTGTTAGCCTAGCTTAGCACCAAGACTGAAAGCAGAGGGACACTGCTAGCCTAGCTTAGCACCAAGACTGAAAGCAGAGGGACACTGCTAGCCTAGCTTAGCACCAAGACTGAAAGCAGAGGGACACTGCTAGCCTAGCTTAGCACAGGTCATTCTGCAGAAGTCCATCTGGAAATGTGCCGTTTTAAGAGAAGTTACCATAGAAACACAGTAAAGGTTCAGTTTGATTTAATGAGCTGTTTAAACCCTCACACGGTCTTTCAGGTTCTTTTAAATCCTCACAGGTGTTGATGCCCTCAGTTTGGTCTGGCAGGTACAACAGTGTTGAAAACATAAACCTTCGTCATTTCTAAATTCATTAGTCCCGTGTTCCCTGAAGCCATCACCCACAGGAACAACGGAGGACCCTGGGGGGGCCTGAGGAACCCCACACCGAGAACCCCAGGACTGTTCTGCTCAGAGTATAACTTAAATGTTTACAACAAAAGGAAGAAACGTTCAGTGTTTCCTGTCCAGCTCAGAATCTGCTGAGTCAGGGGACCAGTCCTGCTCCTGGTCCTGCTTCAGGTCCCGGTCCAGGTTCTAGCTGAGCTCGGTTCTCCTCTGCAGGTACTGCAGGATGGAGTCGGTTCCCTGCGATGAGCCCCAGACTCTCTTCAGGGCTTCACACTCGCGCTCGTTAGCTTGCTCCAGAGCGCCGCGGCTAGTGTTCCTCATCAGGGCCTTGGACTCCCGCAGAACCTACAGGACAGGAAGTGGAACCACAGGATGGTGAACACCAGAAGAACAATGATTTAAACCAAAGGCCACGCCATGCTGCTGTCTGTTTACACTCACTCTCTCCTGTGAGGACACAACACCACGACAACAGAGGACATGACGCCACGTGTGCCGAGAACATGACGACGTGACGCCACGTGTGCCGAGAACATGACGCCACGTTTGCAGACGACGTGACGCCACGTGTGCCGAGAACATGACAACGTGACCCACCGTGTGCCGAGAACATGACGACGTGACGCCACGTGTGCCGAGAACATGACAACGTGACCCACCGTGTGCCGAGAACATGACGACGTGACGCCACGTGTGCCGAGAACATGACAACGTGACCCACGTGTGCCGAGAACATGACGACGTGACCCACCGTGTGCCGAGAACATGACGACGTGACGCCACGTGTGCCGAGAACATGACGACGTGACCCACCGTGTGCCGAGAACATGACAACGTGACCCACCGTGTGCCGAGAACATGACGACGTGACGCCACGTGTGCCGAGAACATGACGACGTGACCCACCGTGTGCCGAGAACATGACGACGTGACCCACCGTGTGCC